CTGGTGGGATCGCCAAGGAATAATCCACTTTGAATTCTTACTACCTAATACAACATTTAATGCTCAAATATACTGTCAGCAATTAGAGCGTTTGAACCAAGCTTTGAGAAAAAAAGACCTGCTCTAGTGAATCGAAAAGAGGGGATGTTTCACCAGGACAATGCGTGACACCACACAGCAAGAATCAGCTCACAAAAGATCGAAGAACTTGATTGGGAGAAAATTCCTCATCCACCTTATTCTCCCGATCTTGTTCCTTCAGACTACCATTTGTTTCGTAGCTTACAGAATCATTTTGAAGAAACAGCTTTTGTAACACAGAAAGAGGTTAAAACTGACATTTGTGAGTTCTTCGAATCAAAGCCAAAAGAATTTTACAATAATGGAATTAGTAAGCTTGTTAATAGATGGAAGGAAGTCATAGATAATCAGGAAAATACATTGTTGGTTGAATCTAATTAAATGTAACATTTGCTCACTTGTGTTCTTTATTCAAAATTCGGACAGAACTTATGGGGATGATATATATATATATATATATATATATATATATATATATATATATATATATATATGAATATAATGAATAAAGGCTAAAGGGAAAGTTATCTTAGCGGACTCGTTTCGTCCTCAGAGAAAATGTGACGATTTCATAACTGAAACAATTAAGCTGTCGATCGTATATATATATATATATATATATATATATATATATATATATATATATAAATATATATAATCCGTTTAAAGTGGTCTGGTTTTATTTAAAACATGGTATATTATATTTATATATATATATATATATATATATATATATATATATATAGTGTGTGTGTGTGTGTGCAATGTATAAGTTATGGTCTAAATTACGCAAAAATTAAAATAAGACTGACATCTCATTTTAACAGATATATTTACCAAAATTGTGCAAAAATATTTTCATATACTAGAATAAATTTATTCAATAATTCGCCATTGGCTTCCACCACGGCCTCCAAACGACTTCAGACTCTCCTGCAACTTTTCTGGTCAGTCTCCTTATTTAAGTTGGTGCATGCTACTATAATCCTTGCCTTCAGTTCATCTTTGGTGTTACAGGCAGTTTTGTTGGTCTGTCGCTCAAATACGACCTACACACAATATTTAAGAGGGTCGAAATCTGGAGAGTTAGGTGGCCAGATATAAGGGGTGATGTGGTCGCAGAAATTGTCTGACAGCCATGACTTTGTTCTCTAGCTTGTCTGACATACTGTCAGACCTGTTCTTCCAGCAGCAATCTTATTGCCTTAGGGTAGCACTACCTCCTCAAAGCACTTGATGTAGGCCTTCGTGTCGAGTCTGGGGCCCTCTGAGAAAATGAATTGAGGCATAACGTCGCCATCACTAATGATGACTCCAATTAATTCGTAGTCACCAGTGCACTCATCCAACTCTTTCCGAATCCTCTGCCCTCAGATTGACACGCAAGCACACTGAAATATTCGTATTGCAACTTCCGGCGCGAATTCCAAGCAGTACGACATACGTTTCTAAATTTCTGGCTGGGTGAATTGCCTCATGGTACTTTTTTTGTATTTCTTTTTCCTTGATGTACCACCCCATATTTCTTCCTCCTGAGGTTCCTCAAGGACAACTTTAACGAGGGCAACCCTCGAACCATTGCTGCATTGAAAGCAGCCATCAGTGAGAAGATTCAAGCGTTCACCCAGGCGGAATGTGCACGCGTTATCAACAACTGCATTCAATTGAACGCCTAACATCTTGAAGATATAGTCTAGGGCTCCTCTTGACTTTTTTTTTTATTCATGTTTGAAACTAAATGGCTTCAAACCCTAAAATGTTATCCTTTTACCGTTCAATAAATATAATATCCATTACTTTATTATTTGGGGTTCTTGATTTTTTGCCCGACCATTTTGTTTCAAAAATTGTGAAACACATACAGCTGACTGCGCACGATATTATAAATACGTGTGTCGCAATTATAAATTTGGATTTTCCTGAAGAAAATCTTTATTGATTCATCCAGGTCACATTCTTTTTGATCCAGATTAAGTGATCGTTTAACTTCATGAAGTTAGAGAGAGTGACCAGCAGGGTTATCGTGTGATGGGCGGGACTTAGGGAATATGAACTTCTCTTTAAAGTGAAGGGGTAAGACTTTTATGATTTACTGTTCTAGAGAACGCTTGATGCTAAATCTCTCCTTGACATCGGAAGACCTCGGTAGCAGCTTACGTTTCGTTATTCGTTTCAAAGTGATATATTAATGTTTTGTTGGTAAGGGTAGTTAGGCATAAGAAGAGATAAGTGGGATGTTACGGGGTGGAGAATTGGCAAGGTATATATATATATATATATATATATATATATAGTAGTTTGCACATCGACAGAAAAACATGAACAGATAGAGAGACAGGCATACAGACAGATAAACAGATCGATAAACTGATAGATACTGACACACATATACTAAACCGGAACGGAATCAGCATGTTACATAGATAGATAGATAGATAGATAGATAGATAGATAGATTGTAATAATTGATAAACATAGTGAGATAGACAGAAAACCTAATGAAATAGATAGATAGATAGATAAACATACTTAGATATATAGTTATATATAGAACGTGATATGTAGATTGATATGAATAGAACGAAAGAGACACGTAGAGAGACAGATATGAACAGAACGAGATAGCTAGCTAGCTAGATAGATAGATAGATAGATAACGAAGAAAGCAAGATATTTACTCATACCAAACGTACACAGCAATTTTAAGTTCATTCTAAGTTAAATATTTTAATATTTGTGCATAGATTTATTCCAGCTCATGCGCCATTTTGTTTTACTAGTTCCCGCCATCTTTGAGGCCATTTCATGTTTCCATCCTACCATGACATGGAATCCTTCTGTGTGATGAACTAGTCTCAGTGGTTTTACAATCTTCTTGATAATTGAATTCTTCCCATTAAAGCAATTTTATAGACATATAGATATGTGTTAATCCGAAGATGAGTACGGCAAGTGTCGGAAGACTACATATATAACCACATATGTATCTGGGGTTGTCCCAGTGGAAGACGACAACATTCAGACTGGCGAATTCTGAACGCCTTTCCGTCCATTTCTGCTTTTATTCCTTCCAAGTACGAACAAAATTCAATTTCTTATTTTTACGTAAGGGGCTCTTAATACACAATGTGTCCTCATCAAAGTGTTGTAGCATACCAACGGACGATTATTGGTATGTGCTCATTTACATAAATACAGTAGTAAATACTGTATGTTGGTCTGCAATTAAAAAATTGTCTCCAGGAGTGCTGGTCAAACTCTCTGCCTCCGGAGAGAAGGGATCCCCAGACGAGGCTATGTCGAAGGGCAGAGTCTCGTCTCGGGAAACAGCTACCCGACCACGTTTTATACGGGTCCACAGGGAATTTTTGGTTGAGCCCACGGGCTCGGATACCCCATTTTAAATTTGGCCTTGTGCCACATCTGACCGCGTGCGGTGGTTGGTAGATATCCTGAAGTTGGGGATTCGTCTCCAGCTGTGCTGGTTAAACTCTCTGCCTCCGGGCAGAGTGGATCCCCAGACGAGTCTATGTCGATGGGCAGAGTCTCGTCTCGGGAAACAGCTACGCGACCCCATTTGAGTTATTCTTGTATTATCGTTCATTACCAACCTTCGTATGATTATTCTATTCAGTAACCTTCCCGAGGTTGCAAAACAAAGATTGGAGAAAGTAAACCAGTTATCCATTGATTCGCTGATATGGTATATCTGTTGATTCATTTTTTTGCTATTTTCTCTTCGTGGGGTTAATTATTGTTCGTTCCTACTAAATTGGCGAATCCCTACCTAATCCAAGGATTGAACTCTTAACCAGTAGCTGACCAACTCCAATATCCACTACGCAACCGTTGCGAGGGATCTTATTGGTGTCTTTTGGAGCCTTTTATATTCAATATTCGTACCGCTTTTTGTATAATTTTATTCCATTTCAGAAACGAGTAATTGTCAATAACTGATATCACAGAGACAAAATATCACAATAATCCACAGATATCCTCCATCAACCAATTAATAGACACCTGATGATTCCCAGAAGATATTTGGTCGAAAAGTTGTATCTATAATAACATCGATATCAACAAGGAAAAGATCAATCGTTCAAAATAAGAGTATATCAATATTGACATTATTCATCTCAGAAATCTTTGTTTGTAAGTTCTTTGCATGGAACCAAAGTAGAAATATTCATCGGAAACACATGAAGAAAGTTCAGACAAGCTCCATTTTGGTCATTCTCAATAATGGTGAGAAAAACAAAATAATATATCTGATATGATCCATTGAAATGTCACCTTACAAAATGTACGTGAGATGACCCATTGAAATGTCACCTCACAGAATTTACGTGAGATGACCCATTGAAATGTCACCTTACAGAATCTATGTGATATGACCCATTGAAAAGTCACCTTACAGAATTTACTCGACCTGGCCCATTGAAATGTCACTTTACAGAATTTACGTGACATAACCCGTTGAAATATCACCTTACAGAATTTACGTGACATAAATCATTGAAATTACAACTTACATAATTTACGCGACATGACCCATTGAAATGTCACCTTACAGAATTTACGCGAGATGAACCATTGAAATGTCACCGTACAGAATTTAAATATGACCAATTGAAATGTCCCCATACAAAATCTACGTGAGATGATCCATTGAAATGTCACCTTACAGAATTTACGCGAGATGACACCTTGAAATGTCACCTTACAGAATTTACGTGGCATGACCCATTGAAATGTCACAATACAGAATTTACGTGAAATGACCCATTGAAATGTCGCCTTACAGAATTTACGGGGCATGACCCGTTAAAATGTCACCTTACAGAATTTACGTGAGATGACTCCTTGAAATGTCACCTTACAGAATTTACGTGAGATGACCCACTGAAATGTCACCTTACAGAATTTAAATGACATGACCAATTGAAATGTCACCTTACAAAATCTACGTGAGATGACACATTGAAATCTCATTTTACAGAATTTACGTGACATAACCCTTTGAGTGGCGACAGATTCTGCTATATCGATTGTGTATAAAGACTGCAATAAATAGAAACTCATTTTGTTAGAAAAGAGAACTCTCTCTTTTCCTTATCTGGTGACATCAGATGTGCTGGGGATTTTTGTTTCTTACCGTTGGACACGGTCTTGGCAGCATAAGAAACACAGAAGACACTTTGTTGATGGCAGACGCAGAAAGAAAACTGTAGAACTTTTCTCGGACGATTTCCTCAAAGATGAAGAAGAGACTCGAAACGACGGAAATGCGGTTCTACAGAAGGATGCTAAGGATATCATGAACCGTACATGTGAGCAACGATGAGGTCTTAGAAAGGTTGCAAACAAGAAGAAGGCTTATACTTAACATCTGAAGTTCCTGGGACATATAATGTTGAAGAAGGGCATGGAGGATCTGATACTCACGGGTCGAATAGAAGGAAAGAGAGACAAGGGAAAGCAGTGCGTGATATATCCAGCAGGCGGAAGCGAGTTGATAACAGAACGTGGTCTGGTGGAGGAAGCAGAATGTAGGAACTTGTTGAGAGCTGCAAGGGATAGGGGCAGGTGGAGAGCCATGATCGCTTACGTCCTGAAAGTACATGGCACATAAAAAGAAAAGCCGGTTTCTGCTAACCAAAAAGGCGTCTAAATCCTTTATAGGAAGCCTTCGAAATGATGGTAGGCGCTAACAGAAAACTGGTAGTTATGTGACCCTTATAATCACTAATCTCTAGAAAATGAGGAATTCAGCAAATTGCCAGGGGAGCGGAACTGTAGATGGAGACTTCTTGGTGGAGCCAAGGGAGGAAGCTCTCAGACACTGCAGGTGAGACATACAGGGACCTAGCTCCAATTCAATCGAGAAAGTACAGGCCCGCCATGGGTATGACGATATCCGCGTCCAGGGTAAGACGATAAACTACGCCCAACAGCAAGGCCTCTGATCAGGAGGCTTTGAGGAACGTGGAACCACCTCTTAATTGCTGATGTTCCAAGGTCCACCCTGAGCCAGGGTGGTAGCACCTGTTAGGGTCCCAGCCATGGGCAAATAGTTAACCCTTAAACTGAGGTAAAAAGCATTTTGAACGTGTAAAAATAGGTTTTAATACCAGAAATACTTTGTAAAAAATTATTACCAGAAATAGATTTTTGACAAAACAAAAATATTACCAGGAAAAAAGTTGTCGGCATTAAATGACCCAATGAGGTGTTGATATGCCGTAAAACAAAACAAACCAAACAAAAGTACAGGTGTCAGTTGTTATTCTATGACAGTAGTACAAAGCAAAGACAATGTCAGATGTCCAGAAATTGATGTCGCTTTCTTACAGCAATACATCTAGTCTCACCGAAGCCTAGAAGAGCAGTGCTCCCCGACGTCCACTCGCCTGGTTTTTAACAGGTAGCGTTGCTCTCTTATGCAAATAAACCTGCTGCATAAAAATGGCAGTAGGCGTACGCACGCGCGACCGACTCCCAGAGAATAGTTCAACACGCGAGGCAGCGAATTCGTTTTGCTCCTGGTAAGTCACTGTCACCTCTATTACATACAATTATATGTAAGCAAATATATGGATATAGATCCGACAGTATGAAGAAAAATATACAGAAAAAACAAACAAAAATCTTAATATGCAATTATGCTATATGAATGTTTTATATAAACAGTTCAAGAAATCCCTTCCGTTGATATAGGAATACGCAGAGATCAATAGGTTCTTATATCTTCATACAAGCTTGAAGTCCTCCACGTTACAAAGCAAATCAAAAATGATTTCAAAATATCAGAACGATGGAACCATTTTAAAAACAGTTCGATAATAAATCCTTTCCTTACTTGATCAATAGATTCTTATATAAAATAGTTCAATCGACTTTTTTAATATTTTAATATTTGGAAATCATCTTCGAATACGTTTTCACAACATCGCCCACGTGACGACGACGTGATCATATTTAAACGGAACGCTGATCTTATATAAAAATTTCAGTTATCTGTTTGGATCAGTTGTGCTCTTATGTCCATCGTCTTTTCATGTTGGATTTTTATATGTTCTAATGTTAATTATGTTTAAATGATAATGTCCTGAAGATGGTCTAAAATAGACCGAAACGTCCGACGTTGACTTTATATTAACATTAATACAGCATAATTGCATATTATGATTTTTGTTTGTTTTTTTTTTGTATATTTTTCTTCAGACAATTATATGTATCCTTATGCGTTCTCTTCCTTTCCCTGGAACGTGCGTTAAGCCTGCTAATACGTCGTAAATAGTGGACTATTCCATTTTGAACGATTGGAAAGACAGGACTTCTTCTTTCCTTCTTTTATGTGCCGGACGTAAGCGATCATGGCCCTCCACATCCTCCTGTCACTTGTAACCCTTAATAAGTTTTGTCTCTTTGTTATTTCTCCCAGCCTCTTTTCTGTCATCCGTTTCATCAAGCCCATTAATTATGTCACCCGTTGCTTTCCCCTGTCCGTCTCTCCCTCTATACGTC